TGCCACCTACATTTTGAAACCCTCCAACTGACCCTTTTTTTTTGCATTCCAATTCTTTATTTCATGTAGGAATGCAACTTATTTGACAGCACTTCAGCAATTTCAGAGTGTTCACTTTTAATTTTTTTTCCCATACAGTCTTGACCTCCTTTTCTCTTTTCTCATCTCCTTTCATTCCCATGAATCCTTGAAAATAATACCAAGCATTCATTACTGACTACACAGCCAGTATATATGTCTGATATCTCCACAAAACCTGGGCATCAACAATGTAGCCAGAAATCACAAGAAGGTCATAAACAGCCAAATGTCGAATTCTTAATACTAGTAGAGTACTTTTTCAAACATATTAGCCTCTCAGCCATGAGCCAAGGAATATGAGGTAGTCAAAATCTAGTTTAAACAATACAGTTTATGTCTTTATTTTCTCTTTTCTTGATAAAGTAAAACAATCAGTTTACTAAAATAAATGGTCATGTAACTTTCCAAATTATTTTTATAAATATTCTTTTTTGTACATAACAATGTTTAAAAAGAACTATGAAAGAATTTTAAAAATGAGATGACAAAATTTTATACTATCAGCAGACCATCAATCCTACACAAAATTCCCTAGGGTTGAGGTTTACCCCATCCTTACTAATGTTTAGGGAGGGGTTCAGAACATGTCATTTTATCTACACTTGTTACAATATATTTGCCAACTTTTGCAGAACAAACATAAGTGCTATAAGCAGGTCAACATAAACTGCTAATTTTAATGTTTCTCTAAACTACCCAATCCGTTTGATAAGATATTCATTTGTCAACTAACTAACTAACTAAATGATCTACAACCAACATTTATTATTATCTCCTGAAGTCAAAAAATTAAATTCCAATTCCTGACATCTGTACTATAATTTGAGTTAAATCTCTCATAACAATGGATGTTCAGTCTTTACACAGTCAAGCAAGTTACTGGCTGGCAACTAGTTTTATTTCAGTAGAAAACATATCTGGAGATAAGACTTTGAACCACAGTTAGAAGGATTAATGACTTTAGAAGCAAAGACACTTCTATGACCTCCAGCAAAGTTTCTCTCCTCCAGGCGGCTTTTTAAAGTTTGCACTGCAAATTACAGGAGCAACAAACATGCCAGCAGCCTTCTTACAAGTGGTTGCATACCTAACATATTTGGGGCCTGCAGGAAATAATTTTTAACATCCTCTTCTCTGTTACCGAGAGCCAGTTTAGGATAGTGATTAAAGCACCTGACTAGAAATGGTGGGATTGTGAGTTTTAGTCCTGCCTTAGGTACAAAATCAGCTGGGTAGAAATGATGCATGGGCCAACCACTTCCAAAATAATGTTGCTAAGAAATCTTCAGATCTTCAAATCTTCAGTAACCAGGAGTCAAACTAACTTGAAAGCGCATTCTGCTGCATAGATCAACAACAACTGATTCTTATTTACCTTGTCATCTTTGGCAGCACTCCCCCTTATTACTTGCCCTGAGAGCAGATTGCTCTGAAGTATACCATTGCTTAAAAGGGTTACTTTACTACTTTACTTAAAAATCTCTCCACTTACATATCAGTTTGACTTGTGGGATTTAATTTATTTTTTCTTCAGAGCCTTGAGATGCATTTAGCAGATTGAAGAACAATATGCTAGCAGGGAGGGAGAGAGGCAGTTACCAACTGGGAGCTTGGTTGAACATCCTTTGCACCTTGCCTTTTGTATCCCATTCCTCTCTGTATATACCTTCTCTAAACATTTCACAAGCCCAATAAAGACTTCAAGCAAAAAGACTGTGTCACAATACTATGTATGACTGCAGAAGGTGGCAACACGTAACTGACTCTGAGTCATCTTGAAAAAACTGAACAGTGAAAAATCTCAAGGATGCAGTCAAAGTGGAATCTGAGAAGAAATCCCCCCCCAAAATCCACTTCCAAGTTGAGGCCAAGAAACAAGAGTCATCCGGAGCCAAGCTCAAGTTGAATAACATATATACTAAGGTTTGGGTCCTAGCCTTGATATTTTACTAGATCTAAGTAATGAGACCTAAAAAGAGGAATTGTGCATTAAAACTGAAAAGAAAACCATTGAAGGACAGCACTGTAATAGTAATTATTGAAGGACACTAATGTAACTAATTTAGTATAACTAAATGAAGAATTGAAATATACAACAGTGATATATTAATCCACAAGCACACCGCCTTTCTTAAACCTTTTTTCTACCCTGGATGAACCCTTGACGTAATTTTCAGGGCACAGACAACCCCTGAATTAAAATTGGAAAAAAATATAAAAACTTCACAATACAATTTATTTCTCATCTACATATTCCACATTTAAAACAGCAAAGCAGCAGACCTGACAGTGCATAAAAATTCCCAACATTTTGACTGCTAGGATTATTGGCATGTGAAGTTAACATTATGGAATCCCAGAAGTTCTGCAGAATCCCAGAAAGGCTGCCTCAGACAAATGTGTCTAATGAAAATGGTTTCTACCTCATGCCACAAACCAGCAAGACAAGCTCACAATTCCACCATTTCTGGCAACAGTGTTTTGCTGCTGTGAAGTAATATAGTTAATTTTTCTGAAGCTTATCATTCTCCATTACTTAGAATAGAATAGAGCTGGAAGGGACCTTGGAGGCCTTCTAGTCCAGCCCCCTGCTCAAGCAGGAGAACTTATACCATCTCAGACAAGTGACTGTCTAGCCTCTTCTTAAAAATCTCCAGTGATGGAGTACCCATGATTTCTGGGGGCAAGCTATTCCACTGGTTAATCGTCCTCACTGTCAGGAAGTTTCTCCTTAATTCCAGGTTGCTTCTCTCTTTCATCAGTTTCCAATCATTGTTTCTTGTCCTGCCCTCTGGTGCTTTGGTGAATAACATGACCCTCTCTTCTTGGTGGCAGCCCCTCAAGTACTGGAACACTGCTATCATGTCTCCCCTATTTCTTCTTTTCTTTAGACTGGACAAACCCAATTCCTGCAGATGTTCTTTGTATGTTTTAGTCTCCAGGCATTTGATCATCTTAGTTGCTCTTCTCTGAATTTTTTCCAAACTCTCAACATCTTTTTTGTGATATGGTGACCAAAATTGGCTGCAGTATTCCAGGTGTAGTCTTACTAGGGTTTTATAAAGCGGTACTAATAGCTCGCGTGATCTTGATTCTATGCGTCTGTTTATACAACCCAGGATTGCATTAGCTTTTTTGGCGGCTGCTGCACACTGCTGCCTCATGGTTAAGTGATCGTCCATTAGGACTCCAAGGTCCCTCTCACAGTTACTGTTTTTAAGCCAGGTCTCGCCCAATCTGTATTTGTACTTTTGATTTTTCCTGCCTAAATGTAAAACTTTGCTTTTCTCCACATTGAAACTCATTTTGTTGGATAGGGCCCATTGTTCAAGTTTGTCAAGATCTTTTTGGATCCTGAGTTTGTCTTCTGGGGTGTTGGCTACTCCTGCCAGTTTGGTGTCATCTGCAAATTTGATGAATTTGCCTTCAATTCCCTCATCTAAGTCATTGATGAAGATATTGAAGAGTACTGGGCCTAAGACAGAACCTTGTGGTACCCCACTGTTTACTTCTCTCCATGTGGATGTAGTGCCATTGAGGACTACTCGTTGAGTATGGTTTGCCAGCCAGCTACAGATCCATCTGGTGGTGATGTTGCCTATTCCACCTTTTTCTAGCTTACCAAGGAGTAGGTTGTGGTCTACTTTATCAAATGCCTTACTGAAGTCTAAGTATGCTATGTCCACAGTATTTCGCTAGTCTTATTCTTACTTATTCCAATCTAGTCTTCATTTCATAATTACTTTAATCTGTATGCTATTTATTAATAGCGCCTGAAATGTGGTAACAAAGACAGCATATTACGCCCAACTGCTAGTAGTTGCAATACAGCCATTATTTCACACTGCCTTGAACGTAGGACATATACTCACAACTTAGGAAATCTAGCAACATTGAAAAATTGCTTGAGCAAGTTTAATTCTGCCATTCTCTTGTATTTAATTCTTTTTTTGCATCTGAAATTATTTACAAGTTACTTCAAATAATTCTATCCTGTGTTTTCTATTTTATTAAGTTCACCCAAAATGACTATTAAAAGCTACAACCATTCCATCATCTCTACTGTCACATTATCAAAATTTAGGCACTTGGCAAACAGCCCACACTTTAAAAACTTCCAAAGCTGCAACAGCTATAACTTCGGGCATGGGTTTATAAGACCTTTTGTTCAGCACCGCGGTAATTTCAAATGGTCACTGAACAAAATTGTAACTCACTGAACAAAATTGTAACTACCTGTAAATCAATGCACAGAAAAAACCCTGATTTCACCTAACAGTGAAAACCTTTAACTCTCAGGGAAAGGCAAATATCAGTTAGTAAAGAATTTAACAATATGACAGCAGGAATGTTAACAATATTTTGCCTGCAAGACAAGAAGTTATTGTTGTAATTTATGCACAATAGAGTCTATTAATTCATCACCAGTAAGTTATAGTGTAGTTCTGTCTTAGGGTGCTGCATGAACATAGTCATTGTAGTTTACAAATCATGGTTGAAATCAAGGCTAATGCAAATATGTGGATAGATTACATTATTTTCCCTGTACACTGATGTTAAAAAACTCCTAAGCATGCACAGGTTTGAAATTCATATAAGCTCACCCAGGAATGTTCTATTTAATTAAACTGACTTTATTTCTTTATTTCAGTAGTCTGAAATGGACTATGATGAACATTCTCATATGCTTCTCTTGATGGTTTATTTTCAATCTTTTTTGTTGATAAATATTGAAATCATATTAAGAAGTCACTGTTTTTATAATAAATTTTAGTCTTGGCTACTGAATAATACTGCATATTGGTATAATATTATACCGATAGTAATACGATTTGAAAGCCAGGTCCAAAATTTATTATGTCTTCAAAGGAAATTGATAATGCCAGATCAAAATAAAGTCCTTTCATCATTCTACTCACAGTTTGGAATCCAACTTCAGAAGAAATCCCAGTTTGTCATATTCTGAAAGACAAAAGCAGATTTCATGCAATTTAGTAGACCTATCAGTTTCCCACCAGAGAAAGAGAGCCTTTCATGAATGATATAAACATTTCTAAACTGGAAATGACAACATTGTCAATAAAGTGTGTGTGTGGGGGAGAAATAATTAATTAATTAATTAATTAGCAATCTTGTTAAGAGTTCTGTACATTCCATTATTGAATTCCTAAAATAAAAACATCCTGATTTTGAAATATACCATTCTCAACTTAATCTAGAACAGTGCTTCTCAACCCCAGCAACTTTAAGATACAGAATGTGGCCTGGAAGCTGCAGAATTCTTGAAGTCTACACATCTTAAAGTCCCTGAGGCTGAGAAACACCTACCGGTATCTACACTGAGACATTTAAGCTGTTTATCTTAATAGGTTTCTTCATTGTGTGGTAATATATTTTGCAATTCCTACTATAATGATAGGTGAAGAGATAATTGTAGATAAACTACAAAATATGTTTCCTCAACAATATACTGCAAGACTTCCTAAAAAGGGTTTTGAGGGAATTGGATATTATCCAATAATAAAGCAGAAGTTTTTCAACTCAGAAAGGATACAAGTTTACTGACAGTTTTCCTCTTTGTTCCAAATGGCAGACTTTGATTTAACAAAGATTTTAAATTCTGGAGACATATAAATGGAACAAGTCCAGCTTTTTATTTCCAGTTTCTTTAAGTGTTGATGCATATTTGACAGAGTATATTTATATTCCCTCATCAACTCTCCAAACTCAGCTTTCAAATGAATTCCAGCACCCACCCAAAACAAATGAAGATATGATTTATGATTTTGATGATTAGACAGCATTGATTATAGAAAGAAAACTTTTGAGAAAAAGACAAATTTATAATTGTACTTATATCTGTTGTAAAGCTCAGAAGCTATTTCTCTGTATCTATCTATCTATCTATCTATCTATCTATCTATCTATCTATCTATCTTTACAACCCTGAGGTCCCTTAAATTGGGGTAGAGTCAGGGCAACTTGGTGGAGCTGAGTGTTTACTGGCCAGATACCCTTTCTGGTGCCTATATGGAGTTAGCAGCAGATTTTTTTTTCTTTCCGACCTAAGAGAGAAACATCTGCTGCTACCTAGGATTGAACTCTCAACCTTCCAAGTGGGAGACAAGCGTCTTCACCATTAGGCCACCATGCCACTCTTCCTTACTTCATAGTAATGTATAATAATCTTTATCTTCACTTGTAAAACTTTAATAAAAGCAAATTAATTGAAGCAATGTAAAAAGATATGTTGTGGTCAATTGTAATCAGTTGAAGAATTGTTGTTATACTTGATGCTAAACTTAAGGGAACCCAAAGCTTAAATAGTCTAAATTTGTTACTCCAGAATAGTAGCAGACCAGGGAAGAATTTTAGCCAAATAATGTATGAAAGATATATAAGATAGAACTAACCCAAATGAAAGTAAAGTAGTAGAGCTGATAATTTAAACAGCACAGGCTTTTCTAATTTACTACTTGTAGTTTTAGGCTACAATTCCATTATCACAACTAGCATAAGCTTCAACAGATTACTGAATTAGGGGGAAATTAGTGTGGCAAGAAGACATATTGTATTGATTTGGTAGTGAATGAAGCAAAACATCGTCTTTTGCAAGAAAAAAACCCTTCCTTTTCAGAAATTACATCAGTCCTTAGGTCAAAAGAGGCAATATATTCAACATTATTCAACTTTGTAGGAAAGTAATTCAAAAAAGCTCATGATCACTGATAACAATTTAATAGTAAATGTACAATAGAAACACAGAGACTAACAACTAAGCATCATGAGCTCAATAAACTGTACATTCTTTGTGCCAAACCAAACATTGGCATAATTGTGGTGTTTTCCTCTGAGCATCTAGAATCAACCTAGTTGTTGGACAACTAAGTGAAAAATGCTTAGACTTATTGCTGTGTTCTCAACAGACCACCCAAAGAGTCAACAGAGCAGAAAGAGTAGATATATGGGTAATCTGTCCACCTTCACTTATTCCAGCTGCATCCATATATTTACACAGAGAGAAGAACACTAAATATTCTCTCGGATGCATTGCTCAATGGATAAACCACAAAAACAATGACACTTTTCAAGAATAATTATGAAGCACTATATACATAAGTTAAATCAACGAATCAGTGCAACAGCTTCAGCGGCAGCCTGACAACATTTTTTCATGAGAAGCCACTCACTTCTACCCATAGTAAAGGAAGAAATGATGCTTGCTTTTTGATACTCAGGAACTATCTGTGTACAGGACATCCTCAACTTATAACAGTTCATTTAGTGACCGTTTGAAGTTACAACAGCACTTATGATCACTGCAGCATCTCCATTGTAGTATGATCAAAATTTAAATACTTGGCAACTGAGACATATTTATGACAGGTGCAATGTCCAGGGGTCATGTAATCACCTTTTGCGACCTTCTGACAAGCAAAGTCAATGGGGAAACGAGATTCACTTAACAAACGAGATTCACTTAACAACTGTCTCGCTTAGCAACAACAATTTTGGGTTGAATTGTCAATGAGGGAAGCTGGATTCACTTGATTCACGTAACAACTGCAGGGATTCACTTAACAACCATGGCAAAAAAGGTCATAAAATTGGGTGTGACTTATTTAACAGCCACCTTGCTTAGCAATGGAAATTCCAGTCCCAAATATGTTTGCATGTTGAGGACTACCCGTATTATGGAACATAATTGACCTGTTGCATAACATTGATGTATTTGTTTGATATTTTCAAGTCTGCAAAAGCAATTGTACATTTTGTCTATTTGATTTATTGATAGACATTTTGGCAATGGGTTTTGGATAAAGGTTGCAGGAGTTCTTCAAGCACAAGATAGCCATAACTGAAAAAGCATCAAAGTAAATGGAAGATGAATAGATCTGCAAATTAAGCAACAGTGTGAATGTGGCAGTAAAATCAGGGGTTCAGAATTGCTTCACTCCCACCCCTTTTGATTCTTTAAATAACATTGATGTTCAGATAGATATTATTTATTACTGAAATAAACTTTTAATTAGGCTGTGCAATGCTTTGGATTTGATTTTGAAAAGGAGCTTTGGAACATGTGGAAGTGCAAGCACAAATCCTCTATAGAATTTGTTCAAGCATCAATCCATTTCTTTTCAGAACCATGTAGCAGCAGACTCTGGGAACAGATTTGGCTGCTTTAATGAATCACAGAGAGGTGCTGTTTTCTGTCTATTTGAAACAGTTCTTTGCAATTGAATCTGAAGCATTGCACATCCCTGTTTGTTATATTACTAATTGCTAAAGTCTCCTAGTGGTTTATAATAAAATATGAACATGATATCAAACATTATGCAGATCAAACTTAAAATAACCAAAATTTAAAAGCCAATTCACAAAGATATATTTCAATGTGGTTTAATCCAACAAAGAAAACAAATCTATACAGCAAATCTATGGCAACAGAAAAGGTTTATCTCCAAGTCGTTAATGACCCGATGGAAATACAGGCCAGTCTTCTTCAAAAAGCTCAGTGATGGTTCATGGTAGGAAAATCACATACTGTAAAAGCTCCTTTCTCAGTTAAGAACTATATACCAATCCAAATCGCACTTTAAAAGTAACAACCAGAACTTTCTATTTGATCCAGAAACAAACTGGCAGCCTTGGAACACTTATAAAGAAAGTAAACTCTGGGGACTGGGAGTAAACAGGCAATAAAGAATGCAAAAGGACACTACGAGCTCTTTCTGGAAGGAAATAAACTTTAGAACATTGGATGACAGATTAGTTAAATACACTGAGTCAGCTTTAACTCCTAATGAGTGGACAAATGCTCACCATCTCAGTGTGCCTCTAGTAATAATTTATAGCACTTCCATAAGCAGTTCTATAATTTTTTTTGATGCTGTCTATCCACCTTGTTTTTTTCCTTCTTCCTTTAATCTTGTCAAATATTTTTTTTCCCAATTCACGGATTGCTTGCATCAAAAATGAAAAGTTGGTACATGTTGATCATTGCCTCAGGGGAGCAGTTAGTCTTTATTTGATTCAAGCTCATTGTTCTTCTTATGATTCATGCTTTAGAACCATCTCCAAAAATATAATTCAAATGCATCACCTTTCTTTTGCTTCTTCTCAGTGTCCAGCTTTTATATCTGCCCATATCACCCTGGAAAGATCATTCCATTAATCACTGCTGTCACCGAAATACTTACATCTTTTATTATCTTATTTGCCATTGCGATCCTCCCTAGGATGAATTCATTTCTTTATTTCGATGTACACTACCAATTTTTATCATTCTTGAGGCCACTTTCACTTCTTTGCTCAAATTACAAGCCCAGATTTCTTAATTAACTCCATGTTTTTCACTTTCCACTTTCATAAATTTTCATTAATTTTAGCTAACAAAGTGATACTGTCTACATATCCCAAATTTGTAATGCTTTAACCTCTTAACTTTGTTTAGTTATCACATCTTCCAAGAGTGTCATTCTTATAATAATATTTATTTTAGGGGTAAAAAAGTACAGGCAAAATGCGTATTTATTTATTTGAGCTTTATCCTGCCTTTATTATTTTATAAGTAACTCAAGGTGGTGAACATACATAATACTTCTTCCTCCTATTTTCCTCACAACCACCACCCTATAAGTGGGATTGGGCAGAGAGAGAACAACTGGCCCAAGTCATTCAGCCTGCTTTCATGTCCAACATGGGACTGCAATTCAGTCTCTTGATATCTGGGTCAGCATCTTAACTATTACATCAAACTGGGTCTTGCCCCTCTATCTTTCCTATTCTGAACCAATGTATTTCTCCAAAACCTGTTTTTAGAGTAGCTTCTTGTCCATTGTACATGATCCTCAGATTTCTGGTTCATACATTGCCTTGATATATTTTCACTAATCGGCTTGATGTAGACACCATTGCTGCAATCGGTATGCGAAAGAAAAACTTTTGTACTTTCTTGCCCT